ATATATTTCAAAAACTTTAACTAAAATCTAAAATCAAAAATATTTATGCATTTATGTTTACATATATATCTTAGCTTTCACTAATTCAAATTAAATGAAATTTTAACATAATGTAGATTGAGATTATATCAAGATTATATGAAATTTTGAACTATTTTTGATCAGTGCATCTTGAGATATACGATGTCAAACATGTTGTTCAGAGACTTTTGACTGCCCTCTGTATATCCCATATTTTTTTCCTAACTACAAACTATATAATTACAAAAAGTAGTAAAGTAAGTAAGATATATGATATCAATAGTACCATTAAGGAACTTGCAATGATTGCAATGACAGGGATAGCTGATATGATCCTAGAGGGATCTGCTAGACACATTACTTAGGCTAATGGCATTACTTCTGTGCTACTTAATTACTTCATAACCCCTTCACTTGATATATACTTTTCAGAATGTACTGGTTGACTATGAACAGATTGATTGGGTAGAGTATCTGTCTGGCTTCTTAAAACAATCTCATCTAGAAATAATGGCTCTTATAAAGTCTCTAATATATTTTCCCTAGCAAAACTTTTATTGAATTCTATAATCTTATCTTCAAGACTGAGCTTATAGATGAGTGGTCTTAAATCATCACTGAGCCAACCTGGTAGCTTTTGTGATGAATCATTCATAGGTGAAAGTGAGGGTTAGAGAAATCTACTATTTCATTATCTTTCTTTGAGATTATCTCTCAGAGACGAGAATTTTTCCCCGTTAAATTTAATCGTATTAAAGACAAAGCATCTATTTTCTGACTGGTTATCTCATGTGTCACATCTATCCTTTTTTCTATACATTCTATTTTTTTAAATTAAAGTTTCCATTCGTTAGGGTTTCAGTTTAAAATTCAAATTGAATTTCAAATATTTGAAAATTTTTTAAAAAATATTCAAACGAATATTGAAATTATTTCAAATATCAAAAATCATAATTTGATTTTGATTATCAAAATATATATTTTTGGTTAGTTATTTATAATAACAATTATAAAAAAATTTATTTTTAAATTTTTAAAAAATTATATTTTTTTTTTTTTTAAAATTATAAGAATTTTTTCTTGTAATAAGATAAGTTTCTTTTGAGGTTTTCAAAAGATAGGTTTTTTTTCTTTATTAATTTCTTTTTATTTCTTTTTTTAGAAATAAATCTTTTGTTCTTTTAGATAAATAAGTTTGCTTTCTTTCAATAGATTCTTTAAGGTTTTTTTAAAGGATAGGTTTCTTTATTTTACTAAATTTTTTTTATTTCTTTAAAAAACAAATCCTTCATTTTTATAAAAAAATTAAGTAAGTCTTTGCATTCTCTTCAAAATAGATTCTTTATTAATAATACTAATTCTTTTAAAAATTTTATACACCCAATTCAAAATATAAATTAAATATATATGAATTAAAAGCATTAAGATATTTTTATTTTAAACTACTTACTTAATATATAAAAAAATGTATTATAAGTATTAATTTATTTTATTTTTATTATAAGATTATTTATTAAAAACTTATGTTAAAACTATAATTAAAAAACTCTTAATTTATTAAGTAAATAATATAGTTATCTTAAAATAAAAAATAATAAAATTATTAGTTCTTATTGATTAAACATATTAAATAGGAACGTTTCCAGTAAAATCAAGTCATAAAGCATAGAAAATCATATGATCTATAATGTGATTTTACTGAAAATGCTTCCAAATAATAAAATAATAACTATTTTGTTGTTATAAGTAAATTTTATTGATTTTATATATATTTTTATTATTATTTCTTTTATAAAATTAAAAGTTAAAATATATGAAGATTTGGAATTATTTGATCAAATTGAATATTTTTTTAGTTTATATTATATATATAATAAAAAAAATGCTTGTAATTATATAATAAATTGCTAATTTATATATTAATAAATATCGATATTATATTAAATCTTTTAATGATTATACTTTTCATTAAGCTGATTTTTTAATGAACTGATATATGTAAGTTATAAGATACCTAACTTTACAATTCTAATGTATACACTTTTCTTTATTTTGATTATAACCTTCATTTAGAAGAAAATCAGAAAAAGAATTTACATCAGAAAAATTTAATATTAAGAGAATAATTATTCTTTTCTTTAAATCAAACTATCGAGTTTTTCTTTGAATGTGATATTTAAATAAATCAAATACTTCATCTCCTTTTACACTGGTCTACCATAAATTGCTAGATTTTTAATCACATGAATCAGTATTTAGTTTTACAATCTTTGGTTTCTTCCTATTGTGCATATAAATAAAAAAAATAAATAAATAAATAAATTTGTGATTTCTCTTTTAGTTTTAAATGTGTAGAAATGAGATATCAGAAGTTCAATATGAGCATATTATTAGCACTCATTTAAGTGGTATTAGACAAAATGTTATTTTAGTTTAACTTAATTCTATCAGTATAATAAATGATACAATTAAAAGATATAAAGAAATGGGTTTTGCAACACCTAAAAAACATTTTGAATGTCCAAAAATTCTCTCTCAATGTGATATTCAGTCTTTATAACTTATTGTTCGAACCAATTGATTTTCTCCTCTTGGTGATATAATGGACAAGCTAAACTCTAACCTTAACATAACTTTACACAATAGTACAGTTAGAAGATATTTTTATGATGTAGATCTTAGCAGTTATTCTACATGTAAAAAACCTCTTTTGATTAAAAAACAGCAAAATTATCATTTGAGATATAGTAAAGAAAAAAACTGAAAAGAAGAATAGAAGCAAATAATATGATCGAATGAGTCCTAATTTGCTCTTTTTGAGTCAGATGGTTGAATAAGAGTTTGGAGAAATCCCAGAAAAGCATATAATAAAAAATGTATTTAACCTATAGTTAAATTTTGTGGAGGATCTGTAATGTTTTGGGATTGTTTTGGTTAGTATGAAATTATACCTTTGGTTATAGTAGATGAAAACCTGGATTCTAATGATTATATCAATATTTTAGCTAATAATTTTATACCATGGGTTAGTAATTATCCTAACTCTATATTTCAGCAAGACAGAGCCTTATGTTATACATTGTAACCCAAATGATCTTTAGAAAACTAGAAAATGTGACGCAATAAAGTGATCTGCAAATGATCATCATGTGAATTGATCTACAAGAATCAATGACACAATAATCGGCAAAAAGATG